GAAAGGTGTTGTGTTAACACATTGCGGACCGCCCTTATACGAGCATCTCCATACCTTTTTCATGTTTTTAAAAAATGAATCATCATTAATCTATCAACAATTTTATCAGTGATGATACTTATGCTTTCCTGGTTCTGAAAATGAGTGCAAGCGCTTGAGGAGCATTGAAAAATGCCAAATAAATCAGACAAGACTATGATCTTCCGCTCTCGATCGTGCGCCACATGGTGGCGCACGTGGTACGCAATGTGCTAAAGTTTGCACGACAAACTACAAACAAACAAAATAAAATCAAACTTTCAACATTGTGCTAAAAAGCCTTTGTTCACAGGTTTCAAGGTGAGAGCGACGTTTTGCATGTACCATATCACTTAAAGGAAGTGGTCACGGAAATTCTTATGGAGACGATAGGGAAGGTGACGTAGTGGACTGGGTAGGGGTCCTACCCAAGGAGGACGACAGGTAGTGGCGCCTTATCAACGGCGTGATAAGGCGCCGAAACCCACTTCCGGTTCGGCGTTACACCTCCTTATCAGACGTGGAAGGGATGCAAGTAGCAACGTGCTAGATATGATACGGTTATCGTTATCGTTCGATTTTCATGCTGGAGTGCACCTCATTCCAAGCAGCCGTATCTTCTTATCTAACGTATCGTATCTTCCAAGGTTAAAGGAAGCAGTCACGATAATTTTCATGGCAACGATAAGGAAAGCTATGTATTGGAGTGGATAGAGGTCCTGCCCAATGTTAGAACACGTAAAGTTTCAGTGGCAGTGGCCCCTTATCAATGAAGTGATAAGGAGCCGAAATTCACTCAAGTTCAGCAAAACCCAAGACTTATCGATGTGGAAAGGGGTGCGATAAGCGTGCTAGATATGATACCGTTATCGTTATCGTCCCGTTTTCATTCTGGAGTGCACCTCTTATCAAGCAGCCGCACCTTCTTATCTCATCGTATCATATCTTCCATGGGCTTACACTCGTCCAACAATTACTGCCTCACACCTTATCGATTGATAACGCGAGGGTAGCAAATCCAGCGTGGAAGCCAGCGTGACTGCTTCCTTTAAGCCGTCCTAACTTATCTGATCTCCGACCTTATCGGTTGATAACGCTGAGTTCGCGATCCACGTGGGAGCCAGCGTGATCGCTTCCTTAAAATCATATCACATGAAGGAAGCGATCACGCTAGCTTTCACGTGGATGTGCTACCCTCTCGTTATCTACCAATATAGCTAATTGTTGGACGTGTTTAGTCCATGGCAGATACGGTACATCAGACAGAGGTTGTGGCAGACTGTGATGAGCGTGCAAGGAAAACGGGAACGATAACGAGAACGTAATTCATTTTACCCTACACTAATCCCTACGTGACTTTCTTATCATTCCCACGGGAATGATCATGACCACTTCCTTAAACTGCATAGAGGTATGGCAGATATACTCTTGTAACTTACGCACTGCACCCTTTGAGAGGCGAATACCTCTCAGTCATTAATGAGGGAACTTCATCGAGGTGAGCCGATTGGTTCATTGACGCAAGATCATTTGCTGTTTAACATTCGGCGTGCTGGCATACGCACTCGGCCAAAACATCCTAGAAACTTAGCGGACGGGTCGCTTGGAGGTGGGGGGGCGTGTTTCGAAGCCTGCTCGCCCTTAGTCCTGTGGAAGCACTACACCTTGTCTTCCCAAGCAGCCACGTAGTTGCTTTCGAAGTCCTGCTCAGCCATCTTTCGTCGTGAAAGCGCCACACCTCGCTTCCCTGGCAGCCAAGTAACTGATTCGTGTGGTGCATATGCTTTTCCGATGCGCTTCCTCTTTATCGTAGTTTCTGCCTTTAAGCTGGGGTTTCTGTGTTTTGTTGTCGGTTGTTTGTTTTCTGTCATAGTCAGCTAGTTACCTTCTTTGAAGATTGAATCCATAAACTTCGATGCAGTCAAAAAGGCATTCGACGCATCCGCCAACGTCTATACGGCTAGTCCAGACAATTTGACTCCTGTTCCGGATAGCCATCACGTCGTGTTCAAAAATTTGTCGGAAGAAGAGAGGAATCATTATTGGAAAGAAGGTATGCTTGAGGTTCGATTGCTGATTTCTTTCTGTATCACCTCTTCTGTACAGGTCTGAGAGCGATTTCTCGAGGTGAAGTTGCTGCCATCGTTTTAGCTGGAGGACAGGCAAGTCGTCTCGGTTCATCAGCTCCTAAAGGTGATTCCTCTTTTATAGATATTCATTTGTTGACATTAATTTCCTCATAATCTAGCTGTCTCAGCATTCTGATCGATTTTGGATCACCTTGTCATTCCCACGCGCCTTTAGGAGCGAAACGTACTCCACCGACTCTGGCGTTCTGTACCAAGTTGTGGCTATTCCCATATAGCATCATCCCATTTACAGTCGCGTTGTGTAGCGCTGCTAGTTTGCTGAATGCAGAATGTCTTTGAGATGTGATCTATGTAATGTAATGTAGCGTATCGTTCACGAGAGGGCACAAACGACACTTGTGCCGCGATTGATAGGGACAGCAGCGGATGCAGCGGTCGTGCGCCGCGAAAGTGTACTTATGTGGTTAGGAGTAGTAGTAACCTCGCTCAAGGAGAATTTTTTTGAAGGATTTAAGACCTACCCCTGCCTTCAAAGAACGCGGTCGGGAGAGGTGTTGGGTAAAAGACCTAATGGGAGGATAGTTGGCACTTCTGAGGCGGAAAAGGTTTCAGAAACGAGCTCTTCATCTTCCAGACCTCTTACCCGCCCATCATTTCGGACACGAAAAGGAAGCAGCGGCTGTGCGGCTCATATGGTACCGTTATCACTATCGTCCGATCTCATTCTGCAATCCAGTTAATTTGAAGAAGCCGTACCTTCTCATCTTCTTGTATCGTATCCTCCATGGGATTACACTCGCTCAACATTCCTATCTTAGTTCTTATCCAAACCCTTCTCGTCAATGAGTGTAGAACTCTTGTCTACCTCTGTACCAGCGCTACCGCTTTTTTGAATATGGACGATCTCGGTCAAAGAAAGTGTTCAAGGCAAGACTTTGATCTCGAGACTACTCAACGACCGGGAAGTCCCAAAAGGTTGCTGATTTGATGTAAAAGTCGTCACTCTGCGAAGGTATTGAAAATGTAGAGTTGTCGCAGAAAGGAGAGTTACTAGAGTTCTACCACAATGGTCGCTGAAAGGACCATCGTGGTCGCACCATGTGAGTAATATAGATAGTAAGGCGCGCCGGAGTTGATCAGCGCCTTTTGTACTGCGCGGGCATTTCAAAATATCTTGCTTCTGTGGTTTTTTTGACCGTCTCACATTTTTCACATTTTCAACCAAAGAACGGAATCAGGTGAGTTTGTCGCCAGTCCTTTAGACGGAAGGCAAACTCACGATTCCGTTCTTTTGGTCGCGAAATGTGAAAAAAATCGGATGAATATATGTATGTGTAACTTTGAAATCAGTATTTTCTAGGCACGATCCCTCTCGGACTCGGTGTTGCTCCATGTGATTCTTTATTGGGTATTCAAGCATGTAAAATTGCATTGTTGGAAAAGCTAGCCAAGGAGGAGTTTCCTGAAGCCAAAGAGACAGAGCAAAGATTCCGTGGTATGTATGAATCGCGCGATATCGAGAAGTATCGGTGGCCATTAAAATCGCGTCAAACATCTTCTTTTCGTCTGAGTCGAGAGTAAGCCTTAGGCGGGGCAGGGGGATGTCAAGGTGTGTGAGCAATTTTCATTCGCTTCTAGTTCCTGCCCCACCTAAGCTTACTCCTAGAGTATGTGTCTCCGTATCTTGCGATAGCGTTGTGAAACCTTTCCTAAAGTTGTCATGCGAGAACTGTTATACACCGGTGATCCGTCCGAGCTGGTTCTGTACCGTGTGATCGTTGAGGGATCTAGTTCTCGTCATTCGGGGAAGCTTTTCTGACACTCACTTGTCGTGCATTCCTTTGTTGGCAGACGAATCCCTACCATTCTTTCTTCTCTCTTTGTTGGCGTTAGACAGCTGCGTAGTTTACGCGACAATCGTCTGATAATGACGGAATCAGATGACGATTCTGAATCACGGAAACTGTTTTTAGGCTGGTGTAATGACGTCGAAACTCTTACCGAAAAGCCACAGCGCAATCACTTTGGCGGAACTAATTTGCCAGCACTGCAGGACTATCTTTTCGATCAGGTCACCGTATTCGTTCAAGCCAGAAATCCCGGCTTTCGACAACGATGGCAATCTTCTCCTTTCCAACAAACACACAGTCGTCACTGCTCCAAGTCAGTTCTTTTATGAATCGCCTTGAAAAGAATAGCAATACGGATTTCTGAGGAATCAGAATCCCTTAGATGTCGTAGCAACAGTTACTATACCGATTAAAATCCCCACTTACTATGCCGATTTCAAAGTCCTCACCCCCAAATGGGAAGCACACTGTCGCCATCATCGTCTCCACCCGGGTCAGTGAAAGACCGGTGTCAGACTTTGCGTCGAGCGATTCGCTAGCGTCCGCGATCGCGTCGCGGCCAGCAACGAATCGCTCGATTTGCAAAGTCTGACATCGGCCAAAATGGGGACCGCCCGTTATTTCTCGCACTCATTAAGCTCGCCTCCAACTGAGGTGCGAAGCAATCCCAATTAGGTGCGAAGGCAAAAGGTCACTGTGCCCACACGTCTTCAAAATTCGACCCAAGAAATAAGCAAATTAGGAAAGCATTATCAAGGGAGTACGGGAAAAAGGCAATCCGGGAGATAATGCTAATTTTATTCAAGTAAATTATGAAACTATGGCAATAATTTGTAACCAGTAGATGGCATAGCTTCTGGACTGCAGAATTCAAATGAATTCAGATAGAATTCAATGCTGCATACAAAGGAGCAAAAATGATATAACATGGATGCTTTCTAAAGGACATGCAGAGTGAAACGAAGTGAGGTGGACCGCAGAGGCTATAGATTTTCTATTATAATACAACAACAGCAAAATAACTGGTTTAGTTGCTCTATTTGCCTCATCAATGGAGTAATTTGTACTACAGGGGTGTTGGCTAGTCAGAGCCACTACTTCTAGGAAGCCACCTGTAAGTAACCGAAACTCATACCTAGCAACTTCAGACTGGAGCAGTTACTGTAGGCTTAACTTCTTGAGCTCGACGGCGACGGCAGATGACGTCATTCTGAAGACGGTGAGGGCAGTGAAGGAGGGCCTGCTTGCTTATGAAGGGACCTTCTTGGAATATTTTGCTGTAGAATATCCATCAACGGTGGCATCCTGTGCGATGGAAAGTATGCTAATGTGCCCCATGGCCAAAATGACCTTTTTGACCCCCTCCCGTATATACAGTTAGAATCCTACTGCAGGAGAATTTCATGATATGTTAACAACAAAACCGTAATATTTTTTCACAAGAATGCTGGGTTGTGAACAAAACTTTCGCCCCAGGCGGGACTAGAACCCGCACCTCTCGCTTTCCGGGCAAGTGCGCTACCAGTTACGCTACCGGGGCACCATTTCATCCCAACTCAGCTTTCCATG